CCAAGGACGTTATTAACCGGCCGGCATCTTCATCACCTCTAATGGCATCACCATCACCGATGGTGTCACCAACGTCATCATCACCACTAACACCAGAATTTTCATCACAACCAATGGCATTACCATCATGCTCACCGAAATACTAAATTGGGAAAAGCCACACCACAACATCGCCCCCTACTAGCAGACTAATTCCCACTTACAGGCCGCTGCTGCATTCACCCTGCGATGCACAGAGATAGCTGTCAATGGGGGTTCTCCTGGCTACACCGTAGTAGTTCACTAGAACAGTCGAGATGAGATGCAAGGCACTTTTTACCGCTGAATAAATTTAAGCAAGGGCCCCGGACATGCAAATCATTATCCTTGCGAATTGGATATAAAGCGATTAAGTCAATGGAACTACGTTGCGCGAGTAGGAATAATCGGTAGTACGGCTGCCTCGGCGTTGCATCGCACAAGGCAGGATGCTACTGGATCCCTTATGGATGCTACCCATGCGCCTCAGTCTTTGTTGATCCTGCGTACGCACCTCAAGCGCTACCTTTGACTGTGCTTTACCCCTACGCTATATATTATTTATTATAACGCGAATTTTCCATAGCACGTGTTCTTCAGGAACGTAACTACCACCGCGTCATAGAACACACCGGTACAGGGCACGAACCCAGCCGGCCCAGGCAGGGGTGGCGGCTCACCTCCCACAGGTAGAGCGTCTGCGCAATGCCGGCCACCAGGTGCAGCCCGTCCGGGGAGGCGGCGAGGCACGACACGGGGCCCGGGCACACAAGCTTCTGCTGCAGCTGCTCCTGCTGCTTTGTGTAAAGGGGGAAGGAGGGAAGCATAGCGAGAGATCGACCACAGACACGGAGCCGACTCAACAAGTGAAACCAGAGCTGCAGGGTTTGGAGCTCCGACGCTTGCTGTATATTTGAAGTTTGTGTGTTCTCCCTATGGTTGCGTGCATTTCTCTCCTGGTCCTCCACGCGTTTAGAGTATTTGGGTGCTATTAGTCTCCACGTGATAAGCCACTGCGTTGAGCTATCACTTGTGGCCAGGTGGCTTCTGAAAAAGATCCACATAGCTCAGTGTACCTGACCTGGTAAAATAAAAAATAGTTTTTAGGATTTTTTTTTAATAGTTACAGCTAGGGCAGCGATAAACAATGACACCGACCCACACTGCTATGATGCCACCACCACAGTGACGGCTGTGCCTTCAGGCACTGTGGAGGAGTGGGTTGGGGGGGATCGCACAAATATTTGAAACTCCCTTCCCGTGGGCGTCGCGATACCATACCCCGGCCCGCCAGCAGAGTGCAGTGCAGCAAAGCATGTGGACTCCTCCAAGATACTGCGAATACTACCAGGGAATGTTTTTGTGTGCATGTTCACCACACGTATATGTGGTGCATGCAGATATGATTCCTTGCAAAAGGTTTATGTTTGGTGTTAACAACCATTTTATTGCCAGAAAGGGTAAAACTTATTCTCATACCCTTCCATCTGTTCCGTCTGTATGAAATAGAGTGTTTCTCCCTCGCACGTGTGGGGTTTCTCCCGGGTACTCCGGTTTTCCTCCCGCATGTAAACAATACATTTTCCAATAACACCGTACTATATCGAGGACCGCAGAGCTTGGTCAGCTGTTTGCGGGTGACTGCCTTCCCGCTCGCCTGTCGTGCCTCAAAGTTGTCGCTCGCTCTCTCTCTTCGAGAGAGCGAGCGACAACTCTGTGCACGCTATAAATTGAAAAGGATTTGCTGGCAGACGATACCCCGTCTGTGTGAAACATAACGGAACCGTGATAGCCTTGCGCTATATAAGTATGTCACTGATGATGATTATTATTGTCACCGTTAATCTGCGGCAGCCGTCTGGAACGCTCTTCCTTCCGATATTCGGCAGCTACTGGAGCTACGCACTTTTTAAGTCACCGAGGGTGAAAACACATTCCTTTCCAACCGCTTTTTGTGAATAGTTTGTCGTCCTTCCCCCCCCCCCCGAATACTCCGATGAAGCACGGTTGACTACGTACGATGCCAAAGAACTTCAACGCACAGCGCATATATATTATATTATTATACTGGTAGAAACGAAGTTGTAAACTGAGTGTACCAGCCTGCAATAGATTAATGCGTCCGTCCGTCCCCTTTCAATACTTTAACGAAGTGAAATCTCGTGCTGTTGGGGCGTAAAAATACAATTGCGCAAAATTCCAATGTCCCTACCAGCCCACCCTGCAGGGACCTGTTTGACAAGGGACTGGAGGCGTTGCGGGCACGGCGAGGCGAGAAGGGGCCGCCACACGCACCTTGCGCCCCGCGTCCCACGCGTTCACGTAGCTCTTGCCGCGCTGCGCGCCCAGCAAGTGGCGTCCTCCCGCGAGGCACAGAGTCCGCGCCGCCGCCCCGCCGCCGCGGTACGAGGCGAGCGAGGCGCCCGATCGCGCGTCCCACGCCCCGCAGCCTCCGCCGCCGGGCGCCGACTCGTCCGCCCCGGCGCACACGAGCACCTCTGCCGGCACGACCGTCCCCGCCATAAGGGCCTGCCGACGACTTTGAATAGACCTGTTTGGGGGGGCAGGGGGGCAAGTGCTGTTAGCGAGCGGCTATGAAGGCCGGCAAACGGTCCACGCGCCACACACACACACACGTGTGTACGGTCCACGTGGAGTGGAGTTTCACGCGGACGGGATTGTGAAGCCATCAAGCGGCCATGTTGCGTAGGGGGGAAAGGGGGGGGGGCGGCACACGTTGGGCGTGCGGAGTGGCGTGACGTCTTCGTGAGGGGGGGGGATTTCCGTTGACTCAACCAAAGGTTCTCCCGTAGCAAGATGGCCGCCAGATTGGTCGATTATAAACTAGTGGCCGGGGGGGGCGGAGCGGGGTGGAGGGGAGGGTGGAGGGGGGGCGGAGCGGGGTGGAGGGTGGAGGGGGGGTGGAGGGGAGGGTGGAGGGGGTGTGCGGTGGGGGGGGCCCCAGGTTCAGAATCTGTATTTAGAGTGGAGGAGGAATCCGATGAGCCATGAAGCTCTTTTTGAACCACGTGTCCAGTCGGAGGGTCAGCGAGTTACAAACAGCAAACAATGCACAAAAACTATGGGAGTGCAAAAGAGAGAAAAAAAGTAACTGAATATAAATCATGAAACAATTGTGCAAATCCTATGTAGCAAGACCAGGTAAAGGCAGGGAAAACAATAACAAAACAGTCCTACACCAAGATAACACAAAGCAGTCGTCCCTCAACAGAAATGGCACGTGAACATTGAACTGTCGATACACATGTAACACTGTAACAAAACATTGTTCCTGAGCAGTAAGTGCTATTTTCCAATTGCGTATGCCTCAAAAGTACAGAAAATGTCTATTATTCCCCACAAACTTTGCTTTTGTGACCAGGACAGTGATATATTTTAATGTACCTATTTTCAATGAGAACACGCGGTGTGCATGTGTGTCATTCCTTCACACAAAGTCCTGGTCACAAAAGCAAAGTTTGTGGGGAATAATATCAATTTTCTGTACTTTTGAGGCATAAGCAATTAGAAAATAACACTTACTACTCAGGAACAAAAATCGTCTTGCATAGTGCAATCAAGAGATGGCAGTCGCGCACAAACAACACAATCGTTTCAACGCGTTAATGACACTTCGGGTGCGTTGCCCTAAAAGAGAACAAACATACAATGGACGACGTTTCGGGCAATGACCCTTCAAAGCTCATACTGGCAAAATGTGGGTAAAAAAATAGCTTCCTCCGCTCTAAATACAGATTCTGAAGCCCAGAAACAGATCGGGGGTTGGGCCAGCAGAGTGGCGAATTTAAGTTGGAGACTGGCACTTCACAACTGTGGGGCCTGGATAAGAAGGTGATGTTCAACCTGTGGGGCCCTGACGAATAGCTTTTAAATTGACCGTCTGAACACTGCAGTTCCATCCAGTCTTCCCGCGTATTCGATCGAGATGTTAACTACCTTGCCAGGTATACAGGAGGAGGTCGTGGGTTCGATCCCGACCCTGACAATGCCTGTGTAATTTGAGTTGCGTGTGTTTAGTTTGTTGTACGTCCCCGGCACCTACGTTTAACAACGCTTGGATGTACGTACGGTGCAAAAGAAGTTCAACGTGCACGTACACACACACACGCTGTAAATTGACGTCTGAACATTGCAGTTCCATCCAGTCTTATCACGTTTTCGGTAGAGATGTTAACTACCTCGCCAGGTATACAGGAGGAGGTCGTGGGTTCGATCCCGACTCTGACAATGCCTCTATATATTTTTGTTGTGTTTCGTTTGTTGTCCTTCCCCAGCACCTACGATTAGCACGGGCTTGGCTATCTATACGTAAACGGTGCAAAATAAGTTCAACGTACGTGTAACATACAAACGCCGATGCAAAAAAAATAACTGGTCTGGAATGGCAAATTGACAAGAGGGACTTCAACGTATTTAATTTGTGTGGAGACGCTCACAATTGACATACCGTGTCACAACCTATAATGTTTATACCCAGGATTCTTGTCCAGGGAAATTGAGTGTTTCAGGTCCGTGCGGCGTACAGCCGTTTCAACGCAGGCAGCGAAAACAAATTGTCTATTTGTTCGTGTTGCTTTGCTTGGAGGCCGTCCATAAATGACGTCACGCACTTAGGGGGGAGGGGGGGTCAGACATTTGTGACGATGTGTGACGAGTGAGGGGGGGTGAGAAACGTGACGTCACATCAAAATGCGCAACTTTAAATAAATATAGACAACACGTTCTACGCACTACAGTGACAATAGTTTAAAGCGATTTGAAGCATGTTTTATTTTATTGGGGGGGGGGGGGCAGCTTTGTGACGTCATATTTGAGAGGGGGGGGGTCTGACTTTTTGTGACGTCGTGTGACGAAGGGGGTGGGGGGGTAAAAAATCGTCCAAGAATCGCGTGACGTCATTTATGGACGGCCTCTTGTGATGGGACTTTGTAGGATGAACGTTGAGATTTATAAGGGGGCACGGGGTGATGAACAAGGTCTGAATTGGTCTGTAATAAGGTAAGGCACTGATATGGGGTTGACAGGTTTGTAGTGGTAAGTGTACTAGTGGTGAGTGTACTAGTGGTGAGTGTAGTAGTGGTGAGTGTAGTGGTGGTGAGTGTACTAGTGGTGAGTGTAGTGGTGGTGAGTGTACTAGTGGTGAGTGTAGTGGTGGTGAGTGTACTAGTGGTGAGTGTAGTAGTGGTGAGTAGTGGTGGTGAGTGTACTAGTGGTGAGTGTAGTAGTGGTGAGTGTAATAGTGGTGAGTTGTACTAGTGGTGAGTGTAGTGGTGGTGAGTGTACTAGTGGTGAGTGTAGTGGTGGTGAGTGTACTAATGGTGAGTGTAGTGGTGGTGAGTGTACTGGTGGTGAGTGTACTAGTGATGAGTGTACTAGTGGTGAGTGTAGTGGTGGTGAGTGTAGTGGTGGTGAGTGTACTAGTGGTGAGTGTAGTGGTGGTGAGTGTACTGGTGGTGAGTGTAGTAGTGGTGAGTGTACTAGTGGTGAGTGTAGTGGTGGTGAGTGTAATAGTGGTGAGTGTAGTGGTGGTGAGTGTACTAGTGGTGAGTTGTACTAGTGGTGAGTGTAGTAGTGGTGAGTGTACTAATGGTGAGTGTAGTGGTGGTGAGTGTACTGGTGGTGAGTGTAGTGGTGGTGAGTGTACTAGTGGTGAGTGTAATAGTGGTGAGTGTAGTGGTGGTGAGTGTACTAGTGGTGAGTTGTACTAGTGGTGAGTGTAGTAGTGGTGAGTGTACTAGTGGTGAGTGTAGTGGTGGTGAGTGTACTAGTGGTGAGTGTACTAGTGGTGAGTGTACTGGTGGTGAGTGTAGTGGTGGTGAGTGTACTAGTGGTGAGTGTAGTGGTGGTGAGTGTACTAGTGGTGAGTGTAGTGGTGGTGAGTGTACTAGTGGTGAGTGTAGTAGTGGTGAGTGTACTAGTGGTGAGTGTAGTGGTGGTGAGTGTACTAATGGTGAATTAAATAAAATAAAACAAAAATGAATTTAGTTGTTTTCATTTTTGTTTTATTTAATTTAATTCAATTATTACCTACGTGACTTTACCGAAAGAACCAACGTGTATGGATCCTTGCAGTCACGAAAACTTAAAATCTAGAAGAATTGAGAGTGTCCGTGTAAACACATTTTATTAATGTCTTTAATAAACTTTAGCAATAAATTCGCTTCGTGATGATAGGGTCAGGCGCGCCCTTTAACCCCTTTAATTGCATTTAGTAAGCGAACACGGTGGTGTGTAAGTACACATTTTTGTTTTATCAACAATATAGGACTGTACTGACTCATACGTAACGTCTAAATAGGAAACAAATACAACATTTTAAAGACCATTTATCTTGATTTGCTTACTTCAGAATGTGTTCTTGCTGTGGTTGTTCCACCTTAAGAAGATTGCTTGTGTTGCGATCGAAACGTCCTGATTTGTTTATATTTTATTTCCTACCTACGTGACTTTACCGAAAGAACCAATGAGCAAAGACGATTTATGTTAAGATATAAAAAAGTGGAATTACAAAATATAGTCCCGTATACTTTAACATATATAAAAACAACGTGTGTAGAATATTTATTATACCCGTCTGTACGATTACGCTGTATATGTGCATTAGAAGGTATATACAAAAAAGAGTGTGAATCAATAAACAAAAATGTTACTTTAATTGCGCTGTACACACTCGAAGCGGAGCGTTGTCAATTCATTATCCGCTTGGCATCATGAGGAAAACTTTACCTCAGTTTTCATTAACACTGCCTTGAAAAAAAACAAACACAATGAGTCGAGTGACTGCCGGAAACTCTGTATTCATAAGTAGCAGTCGTAATAATAACAATAATAAACTGTAAAAGTTTATTTTACTTTGTCGGTGTGGGGCTGCGCTCGGCGATTTCCCGCGCTTTTCTCTCTCAAGGCTGCCGCACTGCGACCTCACTCCACACCACAACGTCGCAGTACTGTACTGTATTAGTCAAATATTATAATACTCTCACAAGTGTATATAGTGTTTGATGCGGCTAATGTTCATGTCTTTTCATCGAGGGTCGACGAGTCACTTCGATTTGCGTTTTGAGCGAAATTGCCGGCAAAAAAAAAGAAACCGCGATCAATTAGCGTGCATTTTAATTTACCAAAATTAAAGCTAAATCTTGACTTAAAGCTTTCGTGACTAGCAGGAATTAATATTCTTTGGGTCTTTCGGTAAAGTCATTTGCTTGTGTTGTGATCGAAATGTCGTAGTTTTTGTTTTGTTATTTTCGTTCACACTATTGACGTTCCTTTACCGAAAGACCCGAAGAATAAAAATTACAGCTCATCTTCCTTCAGTGGAATTATTACCTTTTTTTAACCGTGTTATATATGAAAAGGTGATCGTTTTATCACATATTTGTCTTGAATTGCCTTTCCTAGTCGTTTTATTCGGGGGGGCCGAGGTGCTCAGGCGCAGTGGTGGCCCCGGATCATTCGGTGGGGGACGCCGTCTAAGTCGGACGTTCATGTTAGAGAAGGAGATGAGGCGAAATAACACGGACAAACAATGCAGATGTCGTATAAAATAGAGAATGATAGAAGGGGGATAACAGATGAGACGTCGACAAGAGACTTTTTGAGACGTATGTTGAACGCATTTCGCACCGTGCGTAGCCAACCCCGCTAATCGGAGGAATTACAACAAACACACGCACACACAAAGCAGTTCTCAATAAATACGTTTTCAATCTGGATTTTAAAACGTGCATAGCTCCCAATGGGCTTCCTAATCAATAAAAAAGTAGACCTGCAGACAACACAGCGACTTTTTTGACACGCTATATATTATGTTTATTAGGAGTTCAAATGATATTTAACGCACACAATCTCCTTAAATGCGTCCACCCATTCAATCTGCTCACAATGTCACATACCAACGTCCCACTGCACAGCTGGGAATCTGAATATTTATACACTGGAGGAATCCCATTGCCTCCTCCTCATGTGTCATGTCTCCATAGCTGTCAACCCGTACGGTTTACGCCGTATTATTGTACGTACGGTGCAAACGAAGTTCAAAGTGCACACACACGCTGTAAATTGACGTCTGAACACTGCAGTTCCATCCAGTCCTCTCACGTATTCGGTAGAGATGTTAACTACCTCGCCAGATATACAGGAGGAGGTCGTGGGTTCGATCCCGACTCTGACAATGCTTCTATATATTTTTGGTGTGTTTAGTTTGTTGTCCTTCCCCAGCACCTACGATTAGCACGAGCTTGGCTATCTATACGTAAACGGTGCAAAATAAGTTCAACGTACGTGTAACATACAAACGCCGATGCAAAAAAAAACTGGTCTGGAATGGCAAATTGACAAGAGGGACATCAACGTATTTAATTTGTGTGGAGACGCTCACAATTGACATACCGTATCACAACCCATAATGTTTATATCCCGTATTCTTGTCCAGGGAAATTGAGTGTTCAGGTCCATACGGCGTACAGCCGTTTCAATACGGGCAACAACAAACATGCGTCTATTCGTGTTTCTCCCTTGTGATGGGACTTTGTAGGATGAACGTTAAGATTTGTAAGGGCACGGGGTGACCAATAAGGTCTGAATTGGTCTAATAAGGTAAGCACTATAAGGGGTTGACAGGTATGTAATGGTGAGTGTACTAGTGGTGTCTATTTGGTTGTGTTTCTCCCTTGTGATAGGAATTTGTAGGTTGAGCGTTGAGATTTATAAGGGCACGGGGTGACTGATAAGATCTGAATTGGTCTGTAATAAGGTAGGCACTGGTAAGGGGTTGACAGGTTTGTGTCGCCCTCTCAACCCCACCAACTGTTTGCCCGTCCCCCTTGCCATCTTGCCCCCCTTGCAGCAGGAGCTAACCATGTCACTGGGGCCCATCCTGGATGCCATGCTGAGCGGGGGGCGATCGGCGCCCAGCCTCGACGGGGCGACGGGGCCCTCCTCGTCACTACCTGGCGAGTCAGAGATGAGTGAGGAGGACGTGGTGTTGGTGCACAAGCCGGCCACTTGGCCCTGGTGCGAGGAGGAGAGGGGGGACCAGCCACAGGCCCAGGTATTTTTTTGGGGCCCACGTCCCTCCGACATTTATATTGCCGTTCAATTCATTTTTAAATTTTACCAGGTAAGGCCCCACCGAGCTATAATAGCTATTTTTTTTATAAAGCGACCTGGCGATCACAAATGGTAGCTCAACGAATTGGCTTATCATCACGTGGACATTTAGCAGCCAATACTCTTAAACGCGTGGTGTTGATTCTACAGGTAAATCGAATTTTCAGGTCCATACGGCATACAGCCGTTTCAATACGGGCAACAATAAATATGCATCTATTTGTGTTTTTTCCTTGTGATGGGACTTTGTAGGATGAACGTTAAGATTTCTAAGCGCACGGGATGACCAAAAAGGTCTGAATTGGTCTAATATAGTAAGCACTATAAGGGGTTGACAGGTATGTAATGGTGAGTGTACTCGTGGTGTCTATTTGGTTGTGTTTCTCCCTTGTGATAGGAATTTGGAGGTTGAACGTTGAGATTTATAAGGGCACGGGGTGACTGATAAGATCTGAATTGGTCTGTAATAAGGTAGGCAACTGGTAAGGGGTTGGCAGGTTTGTGTCGCCCTCTCAACCCCACCAACTGTTTGCCCGTCCCCCTTGCCATCTTGGCCCCCTTGCAGCAGGAGCTAACCATGTCACTGGGGCCCACGCTGGATGCCATGCTGAGCGGGGGGCGATCGGCGCCCAGCCTCGACGGGGCGACAGGGCCCTCCTCGTCACTACCTGGCGAGTCCGAGATGACTGAGGAGGACGTGGTGTTGGTGCACAAGCCGGCCACTGGGCCCCCGTGCGAGGAGGAGAGGGGGGACCAGCCACAGGCCCAGGTATTTTTTTGGGGCTCACGTCCCTCCGACATTTATATTGCAATTCAATTCATTTTTACATTTTACTGAGCTATAATAGCTCTTTTTTTCAAAAGCGACCTGGCGATCACAAATGGTAGCTCAACGAAGAGGCTTATCATCACGTAGACATTTAGTAGCCAAATACGCGTGGTGTTGATTCTAAATGTGGAGTGAAAAAAACGGAAGACCCGGAGAAAAAAATCCACGCGACCACGGCGAGAGAGAGAGAGACAAGCAAACTCCAAATATACAGCAGGCGTCAGGGTCGGGATAGAATCTCACGACCTCCTGTATACCAAACGAGGTAGTTAATATCTCGCCACTGTGGCACACGGATTGAGGGGTGGCCTGCACAGATCCCCCATTACGACTCGTTTCGCAGGGTTTTTCAACTGGTGCCCCGTGGAGGATTTATAAATTGAAAGGGGGGGTGAGGATGCCCACATAAGAATGTCTGCTTAGGGCCTCCAATGGGCCAGCAATCATACCTGCGTGGACAGCCACACGACTTAAGTGGCATTAACTTAGAAAACATTGAGTACTGTTTATGATTCACCGTGACTCATACCACGGTGTGTGTGTGTGTGTGGAGATTGGTCTCGGTGGGACCTGGCAAGTCAGCGGTGATGTGGCGAGGCTACATTTTTTTTTTGTGGGTGGCCGGGCAGGTGGTGCTGAGCGTGATGTGGAACAGAACGATCCTGGGCATGGCCTTCTACGACTCCGAGGACGGCACCGTCTACTACATCAACGACACGCCCGACACAGATGACAACTCGCTTCTTAAACGCGGTGCGGACACGTGCACGCAAAGATCCCCCCAACCACCCGTGTAGCCTCCACAAACTTTTAGGGCCAAGTGCTCGTCAGCGAGCGTATATCGGTGTCTCAGCAGAAGAGCGTGTATCGGTGTCTCGCGATCACAAGGTTGCGCATCCAATTCCTGGTTGAGGGTTGACTCCGCCAATCATTCATCTGGCATCAATAAAATAGAGTACCACTTTGTGGGAAGGTAAAAAGTGTTTGTCCTATGGATAGACTCGCCCACCACAGGCTTAAGGCTGTAACAAGAAATGTGCACAATCTCAATGTTCATTCGAACAGGAAATCGCTTTGACTTTGTTGCCGGAATGGTGCACGTGGCGGCGGTAGTGGTCACCACCACACCCGACCGCCTTTGTCTCCCCAGTGCCTATGTTTACGCACCACCCCAGGTACTTATTTCAGGCCGTGTCGACCTAGGGAAAGCCAAGGACTGGTTTTTAATACTGCTCGCCACAGATGCCAGCCGTGGCTGGAAATGAAATTCTGCTGGCTGGGTTTGTACTGCTGTGCGCCAACGACTGCACCCCCCACTTCCTACACGCAAACTCATGCAAACACTTGCAAAGAAAATGCACACGCATGCATCTCTCCACCCCAATTTCCCATCTTGAGTCAATTCTCAGTTTATTTTGCACGCTAATCATTTATATCTTCAGAAGCCTGTGCACATCCCTTTCAATTGCACGTGACTCACCGTCTGACAAAACCGTGAGCGTGCTGCTCTAACTTCAGCTGTGCAAACAAGATGTATCCTCTGTGCGTCTTTGTTGAATAAGCTCTCAGGTCTTCAAGTGAGTCACTTTTTACGGTGTGTATGGTCAAGGCTGAAACTATCAAAGCTTCCTCTCGTCTTGTGAACCCCTTTTTACCTCGTGTGCGAATCTGGAATTTAATCCATGAACCCTGCCAAGCCACCTGCTCTCCCCCCTGATGTAGTTTGTTTGAAGGGGAACTGTATTTACGGACAGGGAACATTTGTAAAGTATTCTTTGTTTCATCTTCTTTGGTTCTTTCGGTAAAGTCACGTAGAATGAGAATAAAATAATAAATTGATAAAATAAAATAACATAATAATATTTATCAATTTATTATAATATTTATCAATTTATTATTTTATTCTCATTCTACGTGACTTTACCGAAAGAACCAAAGAAGATGAATCATTGCAGTCACGAAAGCTTTAAATCGAAATATTCTTTGTTTTACTGGGATATGAAATTACCCCATCGGGACACATGAACATAACGTTCATATCCGCCCCTACTGGACATCTGTGAAAGAGAGCTTTATAGCATATCAAATTCCTCCGATATAAATACCTATTCTATTCTGATGAAACGACTGGACATCTGTGAAAAAGAGTTTTATAGTTCATCGGATTCCTCCGGAATAAATACTGCTTCTGAAACAACACTGCCTCTTTTGCAAGAGCCACCCTGTGGTGGTTTTGTTTTCACCATTGCGCTATACCTGGACCGGCAACATTGTTGAATCGGGCGGCTGTCTGTGCCACGCAGTGATTTTCCAGCTGAACCCCACATGCATCATCACCAGTGCCAAGCAGAAAGACAGCTTCTTCAAGATGCTCGCCAACCCAGGTGAGAGTGGCAGGTCGTGGCGCACCGCCGCCTTGCCCTCCGCACGGACGCTCACTCCGCACGGACGCTCACTCCACTCGCTCATGCGCCCGTTCGTTATGGGTAGCACAGCCAGCACAGGCAACTGGGCCGAATTAGATGCTTCAAAGCCAAGGTGTGGGGTGGCTGGCTGCTTGTCCGCGTGCGAGCAGACGGCGAGGTCGGTGAGAAGAAGGCCCCCGAGGGGGATGGCGGTGAGCAAGTGGATGGTCGTGAGCAAGGAAGTTACAACGTGGAGGTGCTGCCCAGCTTTAACTTCGGTGGGTCTGGGGTGGAGGTGACGTGGCACGGGGTTCGAGCCACACACTCGCTGGGTGTTGCGTCACACTTGCTCTGTGTCACGCTGACGCAGTCTCTTTTAAGTGCGACACCAAGTTAGCAGCCCTCTTGTCAAAGCATTGCTTTGGTCCATTCTCGGCTGTACATTGACCATCAGGAATGGCTGCTCTCGGCTAACGTACACACACGTACCCTTACATGTGTGTGTGTGTGTGCTTCTAGTGGTGGAAGCTGGCAAGCAGCGTATCCTCAACACCAACCTGCCGGGCATGTTGCCGGACCTCACGGAACAAGAGCGCATCTACCACTTTGTGCAGATGGTGCCGTTCGACAATTCTTATATGGTACCGCACGGGATTCCTTTGAACAGGGAATAGCGATTCTTACAACCTCGGGACAGGTGCCAGTGTTACATTATGTTGCAGAGTGGGGTGGGCAAGACCCATGGTCGCCATGGTGGCAACATGTTAACTACCTCGCCTGGTATACAGGAGGATCGTGGGTTTGATCCCGACCCTGATGCCTGTATATTTCCATGTTCTTCCCGTGGTCGTGTGCATTTTCCTCCGGGTCCTCCGGTTTTTCCCTCCACGTTTAGAAACATGCGTTTAGAGTACCGTATTTGGCTGTGATACATTTCCACATGATAAGCCACTTCGTTGAGCTATCATTTGTGGCCAGGTCGCTTTTGAAAAAAAGGTATATGGCTCAGTGGGCCTTACCTGGTAAAATAAAATAAAAACATGGTGTTGGTGGTGGCAGTGCCAGTGCTGTTGGTTATCTTTGTTGTTTGTGTCTGCAGTTGTGTGCGATGGGCGCACTGCTCAAGTTCGTGGAGCAGAAAAGGGTGGGTGTGGAGCTGGAGAACAAGGATGCGCGCGTCCCCATCATGGCCTTCCGCCTCTTCACGCCGTCCGTGCCCACGCCGGCCACACCACACCGCCGTGACCACAACCACAGAGACAACCACAGCACCTTGAACACAACTACATTGACAACCACACCACTCACAGCTGTCTTCACCACCGGCACGACCACACAACTCACTGCACTCACAGCTTTCATAACCACCACCGACGCAACCACACCAATGGAAACACAACCCACGACACTCACTGCTTTGATCACCACAAGCACAACCACACCACTGATCACAGCCACAAATACCCATGTCGTACACAACTGTATATACGGTCCTTTTTATCACCCAACTCACCGTATACATAATTTTACGTCTCACCGAAACTAAGCATGTGTGAGACTTAAGCCGTCTTGCCTTTCTCCGTTTCGTAAAATATTAAATATATTTGTTACAAAACAGCACGACGAGATAGATTTACAGCCGGTTTTTTTTTTGCACAACAGTGGAACACATGCAATACGTGTCAGCAGTCGACGTGAGCGAGGCGTGGAAAAATGCCTGGTTCTGTCAGTATTGACGCAAGCGCGCGTGCGCTTCTCTCGTCCCAGGGAGGACATCGTGCACGTTGACAAGAACACCTTCCGGTGCCGAGCACAGGCCTGGGGCGCCAACAAGCAGCGGCACGAGCACGGCACACGAGGGCAAAGCGTGCACCACTGGCCCTTACACGACAAACACAATAGACAGAGGCGCTATCTGCACCACCAGCACTAGCAGCACAATGCACACGGAAATCACCTACACCACCAGCAGCACACAACACAGGAACATCAGCTGTAGCAGTAGGACCAGGACAAGACAGGGACTTAACCTGCACCATCCATCAGCAGCTCAAGTTCCGCGGGCGTGTGTCTGTGTGTGTGTGTACTTGCGTGTTAATATGTTTACGTGTTTGCATGTGTGTGTGGGGGAGCGGTATTGTAGCGGTTAACGCACTGCGCTATGAACCCGGCGGCCCAAGTTCATATCCCGCTCACGGCCAACACCAGTGTTGATTGTCTGAACTGGTCCTTGGCCTTCCATAGGTCGACTGCGCCTCAAGTGAGTACCTAGTGCGGTGTGTAAACATCGCCATTTGGAAGACAAAGGAGGCCGGGCATAGTTCTGGCCAACCCACCCTTTTGTGTGCTGTGCCGGCCTTTATAGGTACTCGCTCACAACACTTGTCCCAACGGTCTGTTATGACTTCACGGGGGAACTTTGTCTTTGCAGCGCCTTGCAGATATTTAAATCTAAGACTCACCCGTCAGCGTTTAAAAGTGTCTTTGGCGGCAAGGAAGGACTCAGCCTCTTCGGTAACTGCTCGCCACTCACCCACCCACTCGCTTCTCCACTGCTCCCCCTAAACTGCTCACTTCCCGCCCCACTCATCCCTCGGCTAACTCAGTCAGCCACCTTTCCCTGCATGCCCGTTCACTCAACGCCGCCCCAATCGACCTCTCAATGCTGTCTTTCATCACTGTGCCTTTTGTGCCAACGCTTAATTCACAAGGGATTAACCTCCCCGGAGCACAGTGTCCAGCATCCACATCAATCCTCATTGCTCACATTGAATACCAACACAGAACCTAATTTTTTTGTTTAAACTGCATAGTTACTACGGATCCGGCCACCCAAGTTCGATTCCCAGTCACGTCAAGTATCACTTCTGAGCGCAAAATCCGAACGGGTCCTGGACCCAACCTCACTTTCACCAGCCAGCACTAACCAGTGTGGTGAAGTTTTACTAAACAATCCCCATGACCGATACATTGAGGTCTTTACCCAACAATCAATTGATAAAGGGTTGTGAATTATTATTATTCCTGGTTTATTAGGCGGGTCAAGTTTATTAGGCAGTAGAGTGAGCGACACGCAATCAAAAGCGTGTGAGTTCAAATATGGCTTGGGGATTACCTTGCCTTTGCCATATGAACACATGCAATTTCCGCTACTTGCTCATGGCTGTAAGAAAAAGATGAGCGCACACTTCTTCGAAACTCATTTTGGGCAGGAAGCCACTCATAACAGTATTTTGAATCGCCACTGTGTTCAACGTCGGTGTTATAAACGGGGACGATCATCGGTATCGCTGTGTCTCCCGCAGGCATCATGAACCGCTGTCACTCCCCTCCTGGCGTTCGCCTCCTCGAGTGAGTCCCTTAGGGCCCACCCCCACACCCACTCAGGCCCCCCCTCCACACAAGAGTGTGGCTAGAACAGCCACAAGGGAGCAGGGTTAGGGCCGTGTTGGTGTTCAGGCTATGTGGTGGAATGTGGCTGTATGAGTGGTCATAGTGTGAATGCCATCACGGTTGTTATGGTGGTGGCTGCTACCTGTTATGATTTTGTTCTGGGTGGTAGTGTGTTGTGGTGGTCTCTTGGTTGTGTTATTAATTGTGATTGTGTTACGCTGATGGTTGTGTTATGGTAATCTTCTGGTTATGGTATCGTATGTTTAGAGTTATGGTAGTCTTACGGTATTGCCTTGGTGGTGATTTTGTTACGCAAATTTTCACCTTAGCGATTGCATTTCAGTAATGATCGCATTGCGGTGGGTGTCCGAGGAGTGGCATGGTAGAGGATTGTGTTCAGGTTGTGGTAGTATTACAGTCGCGTTATGATAATGGATATGTTGCCGCTTTGGTCACTGGTCGGGGCTCTTCCTCCCCGCCATTTCGCCCACTCCAGGATGTGGTTCCGCCGCCCGACGCGCAACCTGCAAGAGCTGTCAGACCGCCTGGACGTCGTCGAGTTCACCACCTCCCCATGCAACTCTGAGGTCGTCAAGAGGCTGCAAAACTACCTCAAGCAGATCCGGAGCCTATCTGTGAGTCCCTTCGTGGCTGCCCCCCCCCCCCTCAACATTCACGGCATTAAATAATAAACCTGCACCACGAGCGGATCTCCGCAGCGGGGCCCCCCACTCACCACGTGGGCCAAATCCGTCATGCTCCCTCGCCCCCCATGTGCATTCACTCTCTGTTGTAGGCTTTCCTCTGTGTCTCAGGCATTTCCTGGGTTAGTAGGCCCCTCTCCGGCAGTGTTGAGGTCTGAGCGTCCGCTCGGATCCATAAACACTCAAAACCATTTCTCATGAACGAGTCCGGTGACCAAGACCAGATGGTGTGGATCACGTCCGGCAATATTTTGAAGGTCGCGTCTCTATGGCGCAGCAGCTGCGGGATCTTGTGGAGGGTAGAAAGTGTTGGCGAGGTGTGGTGGCTCAACGGCTTTGGCCACTTGACATCTTGATGTTTAATGAAATCGAGGTGGCAGGGAGGCTCAGAGATCAGAGCACTGAGCTGACACTCCTGATTTCCCTTGTTTAAATCTGCGAAAGGGCCCGCGATTAAACCAGGTTCTCAAGTGTTTGCCACTTGTAACTGTTACAGTTCTCTGCACACGGGTGTCTAACGTCTCCACCATTCTCAGCGGTCACCTGCAGATCTCCCGTAATAGACATCAGACACCCGATGTCTTCTCTACCCCCACAGAGAATCCTCATGCGAATGAAGATTTCCCACGCCACTGTGCAAGACTGGAAGACACTCTACCAGGTGCCACCCCCTCCCCCTACTGCCGCTTGCCGTTGCCACACCGCGGGGCTCCGTGGTAGTACACCTAGAGGCCAATAAATGCCCTGCCTGGCGCCAGAGGGCCAACACACTACCCGCTGCGCCAGTACCCGTGTGCGGCCGATAGTGCAATTCTTACACCAGGAATTGCCACCTGTGGCAACCTTGGGGATGCCTCGTGACATCGCTTTGCAAGAGTAGGCTATTGCTTTCCAGTAATGGTCCAAATCATGCATGCGGCAAGACACCGGTACCCATTGATATCACACGTGTTGTAGTGGTGAAGTTCATAACAAAATGATGGGTGGTGGTGCTCGTGTTGTGAAGTGATATTCTGCGGTAGAGATTGCACCATGTGATGATAGTGCTGTTGGTTCGGTACAGACGGTCTTCCACCTGGTGTACATATGGGAAACGTGCCGCAATCTGCCTCAGAATGTGAAGCTCTTCGCCAGAATCAATCACACCTCCAGGAACCTCACCTACATCAGCTCGCTGCTCGCCAACGTGGTAAGGTGGACGCAGAGTCCACGTGCCTGCACTCTCGGCGCCCAGCGCTGACCTGCCCGTTGCATACAGGGAATGGAGATGGATTACCTGCTCTGGGGATGCGTGTGAGCGTGCTGTGTGTGTGTGTGTGCAGGATCCCCCCGGAGGTAGTGGGGTGAAGTCGCCTTAGGCTTCACACAAAAGAGGGTGCCACGGCGGGTAATGTGGACGGTGAAATAAGGAGGCCCCCACGTGGCGGCATTCTGGCCCCGGGCCTCCAGGAACCTCCGGGCGGCCCTGGGCGTGTGTGAACGTCTGTACATGAGCGTGTGAGTGGTATGTCTCAATAAGTGGTCGACTCAGCCTCAAATGAGTACCTGGCATGGTGTGTAAACATCACTACTTGGGAGACAAAGGCGGCCGGGGCGTGGCGTTGGCCACCCACCCCCTTGTGTGCTGTGCCAATTTTCATAGGTGTTCGCTAACAGCACTTGGCCCAACCGTCTGTTAAGGTTATACGGTATGAACGTGGTGGGCACGTTGCAGATGGACTTTGAGGCGAGCAAGGTGGAGAGCAGATGCGTGGTGAAGCCCAATGTGGACACCTCGCTTGATGAAAGTGAGTTGCTCGTAATTCCACTTCATGTACAACCAGAACAAGAGCACTCGCACTAAGTGTAAACACTCAACGTAACGCCACCGTCGCCACCAACGCTTAAAACACTAACCTTAATGCTAATCCAAACACAAGCCTCAATGTTCATATCTCCAATACTAACCGTAACATTAACCCTAACAACCAATATTCTCAACAATAATATCAACACTAACTCGAACACTCATTCCGAACACTCACCCTACTAATAATACACAAAATATAATACTCCCCATAATCCTGCCATCTGGCTGCCGCCTGATGATGCCGGTTGTAATTTCTGGCCAAACGTCGTACTCAGATTGTAAATGTTGTGGATTTGCTCTCCAATACACCGGTGTGCTGTAAGAGTAACGAATTGGCATGTTCCGTTTCCGTGACAAACCTTACGAATTGGCTGTGTCGGGTGGTGGAGGGTTTAACGACACATTTATATTTACGCGATCTAACCTAAAAATATCTGTTTTATGGATGATATTGGTTGCGAAAGCCCACGTGTAAAACTGACTTAAAATTAACACTGACGTCTGTATGTTGAACGTCTTTCGCACCGTACGTAGCCAACTGTCCTAATCGTAGGTGTGGGGGAAGGACAACAAATTAAACACTAAAAGCAGTGCGACACTAACCTTACCACTAATCCTACCTAACACTAGCCTTAACATCAATATCTAACACTAACCTTAATATTAACACGAATTACCAATACTATCCTCAATATTCATAATTCCACTTATTTCGAACACCAATTCTGCCATCAGCACGAACACTAAATATAACACAAACCATTAACAAATAACTTCAAAAATAATCCCTCAAACTAACCTTGTTGTCCTTCCCCCTCACCTCCGATTAACACAGTTGGCTACGTCCGACGCAAAATAAGTCCAACATACATACATGAAGACTGACACTAATCCAAAAACAAACCAACTCTACCTTTCCGCTAACCACCGAAAATAAAATCTTCCTCACGTACTCCCAGCTCTCCCTGGGAGTGCGTGAACGAATCCCTTGAGGCTCTCTGCACGTTTAAACGAAACCTATTGAATTAAGGGCTGTGGGGAGGAGTGAGTGGGACCCCCCCCCCTCCACCACCGCTCAGGTCTCCCTTGCGAGAGCGAGCACCCCCTTACCTCGTCTGTCCTTGCGGTGCCGACACGTGTAGAGAAGCGCACGTTCTACGGGCTGCCGGACTTCATGACGTGCGTGGCGCGCGACGAGCTGGAGGAGCTGGATGTTCGCATCACCTCGTGCCGCATCATCTATCTCCCGCAGGTGGAGCCGGTGAAGGGGTGGTGCCAGTGGTGGTGGTGGTGATTGTGCTGGTGATTGTGATTGTGATGAGCGGTAGTGTAACGCTAAGCGCGCTGCGCTACAAACCCGGCGACCCGAGTTCGATTCTTGCTCATGGCCAACACAAGTGACGATTATCTGAGCCGGTCCTGGGCCTCCCCTAGGTCGACTCAGCCTCAAATGGGTACCTGGTGCGATGTGTAAACATCGTCACTGAGGAGACAAAGGTGGCCGAGCGTGGTGCTGGCCGCCCACCCCCTAGTGTGCTATGCCGGCCTTCATAGGTGCTCACTAACAGCACTTGCCCCAACAGGCTATACGGGGGATCTTTGTCTTTGTTTGTTAGCGATAGTGTTGATGATGGTGTTGAGTCCATGCGTTTAGAAACATTTTTAATCAATATGCGTTTTAGAGTATTTGGGTGCTATAAATTTCCACGAGATAAGCCACTGTGTTGAGCTATCATTTGTGATAGCCAGGCCGCTTCTGAAAAGAGAGCTTATATACCTCAGTCGGGCTTTACCTGGTAAATAAAAAAAATAGTTCAGCTTTAGTTCAGAGTCCGTGTGTGCCTCGCTCACTCGCGTGTGCCTCGCTCACTCGCGTGTGCCTCGCTCACTCGCGTGTGCCCCGCTCACTGGCGCATGCAGCTCGGGTACCTGCTCTCCGTGCCACAGCTGCCGGAGATGGAGAAGGAGGCGGAGGAGGGAAACTTTGAAATTGAGGGCCTTGAATTCATGGTGAGCGCAGGGCACTGTTGTAGCATCCCCCGTCACCACACATACTCCCCGCACGCACACACGCACTCACGCACTCGACGATGACACACTCTAACCACACACTAAACATTCATCTCTCAGCCAACATTCACGCTCGCCACACTCCATAATATTCACAGTCAGCACATTCAGCCAAAGTCACCGCAACACTTGCCCCAACAGTCTGCTCAGGCTATATGGGGGGATCTTTGTCTTTGTGTGCGTGGTGCGTGGTGTCAGTTTGTGTCCGACAAAAGGGTGCACTACCGAAGTTCCCGCACGCAGGAGCTCGACCAACTGCTGGGCGATGCTCGGTGTGAGATCAGAGGTGAAGCTCGCAGCTCCATCTCCATTGGCCTCCCTCTCGCGCGTGTTTCTCTTTCTTGCTCAAGGGAATTTGGCTTCCTCCCGCGCACAAAAAAATATATACTCATTTAAGATTTGTAACGCACACAGCATGCGCTCACTCTCGGAGGGAGAAAGAACGGCTCAGATGAACAGGAAACCACAAGACGAGCGGAGCGGCAGCAAATGTCGGACCACAACGTCTATGGTCCTACGTTTGGATGTCTGGGCAACTCCTTTAACGAGTGTTGCTACACGTGGGAGTAAACCGGAGTACTGTATATTATATATCAGCGCATGCAATCAGCAGTATTGATCCAACACAAGCAAACTCTTTGATCGGTCTCAATATTGTTAGCACCGTGGGGGGATGGGATAATATCGAAATCGGTGTTTACCGTTTGGACGATGACGGTAACGCGATGAACGCGACGGCGCTGACGAGAAACCGCCGGCCCCGTGCGCCAGACCAGGAGCTGGCCATCGTGCAACAGCTGCAGGGGAAGGTGATGGAGTGGGCGGCCGTGCTGAGGGAAGCGATGGAACTTGCCGCTCGCCTTGACTGCCTGCTGGCGTTGGGCACGGTGGCGCGCGATTACGGCTACCGGCGCCCCAGCCTCACCACCAGGAACATCATCAACATCAAGGGCGGCCGGTGGGGCCACGCGGTGCCGCGTACAAACACGCATGGACGCATGCGCACACACACACGAGGACATAGACAACACACAAATACAAAGATCCCTCATATAGCCTGAACAGACTGTTGGGGCAAGTGCTGTTAGCAAGCATCACCTATACTAAATGTTTCTACACACTGCACCAGGTGCGCATTTCAGGCTGAGACGGCCTATGGGAGGTCCAGAACAGGCCCAGATATTCGTTATCAATGTTGGCCGTGAGCGGGCATCGAACTCTGGTCGCCGGGTTCGTAGCGCAGCGTGCTGACCGCAGTGCCACCGTTCCCCCCACACTAAGCACAGCCACACACTGAGGTACTCTCACCCGTAAACAAGTCATTGGGGATTCATCTTCTTGGTTCTTTCGGTAAATTCACGTAGAAAGAACCAAGAAGATGAATCCCTGCAGTCACAAAAGCTTTAAATCGAAATTTAAGTAATTGGGGAATTCAGAGAATTTAGATGAAAGATTTAATTAAAGCCGCTGATAAATGTCAGCCAAGACAAGGGGTTTAATATCGGAGCTCTTATTAAAGAGCGTTACAGGAGCATGACTCAGTGCCTCCCTACAGATAGGACCCCCTGGCGTGGAATGCAGTGTAGTAGAACATCTCTCCCCAGTGAGCCCATTCCCACACGACTGAGGCTTCCGTTGGCACGGCTCCGGTTTATTTGTTTAAACCAGGTGAGAGAAGTCAAGACGCCGGGAGAGAGTCTCACTTGTGAAGATTTTAATTGATTCGTTGGTGGCACTTACAGCGATGCGGAAGCACGAACTACGAAATAAAAAGTAGTCATAATTTCAACTTGTACCGGGCCACACCGACGAGCAGGGAAAGTAGCCTGGCGGTGAACCTGTGCCAACATTTGCCCAAGTTCTGTGGTCCTTTATATATTTAAGATATTTTCGGCCAATTTCAAATATGCACTGAAAGTAGGACCATTGCCGGAAACGTCGCTTATTCAATGTTTTTTTTCTTTTATTTTTCTCTTGAGATGTCACCTCCAACAATGATTCTGGGTCACCAAAACGACGAAAGCAATGCAATTAAATAAAGACAACAATGAAGGAAATAGAAAATCAGGACCAAAGACAACCTCGTCACGGGAGAAATAGAAAATACTGCACAAGCATGAATCAATATTGAAGAAAATACATTTCCTGTAACGTAGTAGGCTGGCTCAGAGAATGCTTTTAAACCGTTCAGAGTGCAATTACGATGCAGAAATATGAAAATATTTAGGGCAATTATTGCACTGATATGTAAGCAGACAAGGATAGTCAAAGTGATTTACTGCTAAAATAAACATTGAGGTATTGGTGCTCATCTGTTTACAGCCCTGAGCCAGTGGTGAAAATTCCACATTCCTGTGCCGGGGGGTGTCCATGGGACGACATTAATGTGTTCAGAGTAACATTTTAGACGCATATTTTTTTCCGGAAACATTTGGCCCTGTTCCTCCACCGTGGTGATGATGATGATGCGATAACGACGATAATGATGGCACAGCATGTGCCGTTTGCCAGGCACCCGCTACTGGAGCTGTGCACCGGCATGTTCGTGCCAAACCCTATGATCAGTGACATGCACCACGGCAAGATGAAGGTGATCACGGGGCCCAACGCATGCGGCAAGAGTATCTACCTGAAGCAGGTGACATTCACGTGGACGCACAAACACAAAAGATCCCCCTCCGTGTAGCCTCACAGGATGCTGGGACAAGTGCTCATTCACTCACAAAACAATGACAAGATCTCACTGCGTAGCCTTAACAGACTTTTGGGGCAAGTGCTGCAAGCGAGCACCTGTGAAGGCTTGCGCGGCACACGAAGGGGGTAGGCCAACACCACGCCCAGCTGCCTTTGTCTCCTCAGTGCTAATGTTTACACACTGCACCAGGTACTCATTTAAGGCTGAATCAACCTTGGGCATGCCCAGAACAGTTCAAATATTTGCCATTGTTATTGATCATGAGCCGGAATCGAACTCGGGTCGTGAGGTTCATAGTCGAGTGCGCTAACCACGAACCACCACTCAACCACCCACTCACACACATTACGCAGAAACACATAACAAATAATCCCCCGTGTGGCCTACACACGCCGTTGGGGGCAAGTTTTGCTCGTGCGATTTTATACCGTCGGCCAGCCCGCGGCTGATGCCGCCACCATCCGCCGTGCGCCACGGTGCAGGTGGGGCTGGTGGTGTTCATGGCGCTCCTGGGCAGCTTCGTGCCGGCTGAAGAGGCGGAGATTGGGCTGCTGGATGGACTGTACTCGCGGGTCCAGACCGGCGAGAGCATCTCCACTGGCTCCTCCACCTTCCTCGTCGACCTCAACCAGGTGGTGCACTGTGGTCCGATCGCTTGTACAGGACGTGTGGCAAAAAACGATATTGAAGAAAATGCAACATAGGTTGGCTCGGGTAATGGGTATTTTTTTTAAACCGTCCAGAGTGCAATTAAGATGCGGAAATATGAAAATATTTAGGGCAATTATTGTACTGATTTGTAAGCAGACAAGTGTAGTCAAAGTGATTTACTGCTAAAATAACATTGAGGCATTGGTGCTCATCCGCTGTTTATAGCCCAGAGCCAGTGGTGAAAATTCCACATTCCTATGGCGGGCGGCGAGTCTGTCCATGGGACGACTACTATCAACTTGACAATGTGGTTCTAATTTTATTAACGCCGGAGGGAGGATGGGCCAAGTGAACCCCCAACCAGGATTTGGGTATTGCAAGATCTGATCGTGTGCGTCCGGTGCTTGCCGAGCTGCATTGACTTACGGTTGCTGAGCGAATAAGTGATGAGGTCGCGCGCTCATTACGCACAAAGTGCCTGCCACAAATGAACCACGATACCTCGCTGATCTCGTCAAGGAGCATAAACCATCACACGAACTCCGGTGGTCATCCTCGCAGCAGCGGCTTGCTTTTGGCTAGCTATCGAAAAAAGACGGTCACCGCATCGCACGCTTTCAGATGCACTTCTGCGGCCGTCTGGAACGCTCTTCCCTCCGATAGTAGGAAGCCACTGGTGCTATGCACTTTTAAATCTAGATTTAAAACTAATTTCTTTTGAACTTATTTTTTGTGTATAGTATGTTGTCTTTCCCCCACACCGCCGATTAGCATAGTTGGCTACGTACAGTGCAAAATAAGTTCAACATACTGTACATTGGTCCTGACCGCTGGCGGCCTTGATCACCGGTGGTCTCCGTCGGAACCTCAAGATACCAGTTGATTTTGTGTAACGAGATGAGAATTCAGGAGACCAGGATTAAGGTATCATTTGCAAGAGTGAGCTGGGTCACCGAAATTATAAAAGCAATAGCATAAAAAAACACAAGTGCAACACGGCAGCAAACAGAAATTAGGGGCAAAAAAACATCGGCATTACAGCAGAAATCGAAAATGGCACGCAAACATAATCACTATTGCATAATCTACACTTACAGGAATAAAAGTTGCCTCGGAAAAAATTTACTTTAAGAAAAAACACATCCATATGAATATTAAGTTACAGAAATATTCACAAGAGTAGGCCATGCTCCGTCTACATTTGAAATGACCTGCAAATTACTCAATTGGACTATATATATAGCAACCACACCTCCCCCCCCACCCCCCCGACTGCAAAAACCTTGGCAGAACCCTCCTGAGAAAGAGTCACGAGACTTAGTGAGGTTCTCCTTGATAAACCATCGTAACAAAATAGCAAACGCACCTGCAATTGAAAGTTACACACCCCATCCTCTCCCTCCAAAAACCCCCTCTCGCGATCGCGGGGTCAGCTCCGTGTGCTGCCGATGTGCCTTGCGTGTGGGTGCCCGCTCACAGATGGGGTCCAGTATCACCGGCGCTACCGAGGACTCCCTGGTGCTGGTGGACGAGTTTGGCAAAGGCACCAACGCGGTGAGCGAGGGAGGGGTTTGACGGTGAAGGGTCGAGCGATAGAGGCTGGTGGAACGTTGCGTGGTTGAGCACAAGTGTAAGTGGTTGAGTGAGTAGCTACAGTGAGTGGGGAGGATAAGTCGTTGAGTGTTAACGGCTAGGGTGAGTGCCTGAGCGAGTGGCTCGGGTCGAGTGGTTGAGGAGCGGTTGAGCGGCTGGGGAGCGCGGGCGGTCGAACGCTGCGTGCTTCCAAACACGGCTCCCGAGCGAGCTGGTGGGGTTGTGAGCAAGCAGTGCCACCGCGGTGTGCAGGTGGACGGGCTGGTGCTGCTGGCGGCCGTGCTGCGCCATTGGCTGTCGCAGGGCGAGCGCTGCCCCCACGTCATGGTCTCCACGCACTTCCACAGGCTCCTGCAGGAGAAGTTGCTGCCAGAGAGCCCACTCATTTCCTTGCAGGTGCTCGTGAAAGACACAAAAGACAAAGATTCCCCACCCCCCCCCCCCCCCGTTTAGTTTGACACGTAGTAAGGCTTTCGCGGCCAGTTGTATTCATCAAGAAGGTTTTTTTTGGTTTAGATCTTGTGAGTATAAACGTGTCGTTAAACCCACCACCACCCGACACAGCCAATTAGAAAGGTTTGTCACATTAACAAAACGTGCCAATTAGTTACTTCAGCACCACCGGTGTGTTGGAGAGTAAATGCACAACATTTACAATTTGAGTACCGTGGCATTTCGCTGGTAATTACGTCCAGCATCATCGGGCGATTTTGGCAGAATTCAGAGAAACGTCACGGGCAGCATCCTTCACGAGCCTCCTCCACACATGCACACTTGTAAACATGCACGCACTCGAACATAACAAAGACCCACCATATGGCCTATATGGACTGTTGAGACAAGCGCTGTGTGAGCACTTATTCAGGCTGACAAGGTGCACGACAAGTTGGTGCGGACAGGGCCACACGCCGCCCCGATGTGATGGCTAAAATGTGTTGAGGCTGCCAGCGTCGAGGCCACTGCTATGTCGAGGTTGTTCTAGCATTGAGTCTGCCACTTTGTTGTGGCCTAGCTCAGTGTCGAGGCTTCGACTGTTGAAGCCAGCCCCGACGCTGAGGCTGGAACTGCATAAAGCCCGCCGCTTGTGTTGTGACCGGCCCTTGATCTCGGCCGCGTGCGTCGCAGACGTTCGAGACAGTGCAGGAGGGCGAGGAGCTTGTGTTCCTCTACCAGCTGCGGGACGGCGTTGCCGACTCCAGCCTCGCGGTCAAAGTGGCCCAGAACACCGGCCTGCCCGCCAAACTCTTGGAGCGTGCCACCGAGGTGCCACACCGCGGCGGTGGGGCCCCAACGTGGCCGCCACCACCACCATACAAAACCGCCATCGCCCTCTCCGCCACCATCAGCGGCACACACGAACCACCACCATTAGCACCACCTCCAATACGTGCATCACTCATTACAGAGGTTTTTTGGGTTGTATCGCGTAAATATCAATGTGTCGTTAAACCCACCTCCACCCGACAAAGCCAATTAGTAAGGTTTGTCATGTAAACAGAACATGCCAATTCGTTACTAGTGCAGCACACCGGTGTGTTGCAGAGCAAAGCCACAACATTTACAATCTGAGTAGGACGTTTCGCCAATAATTACAATTAGCTTCATCAAGCAACAGCCAGACACAAACCACCACTTTGCACACATTGTACCACAACGCAAATACACATGACAAGCACGACAAAGACTTCTGTGGCCAATGCTGCTAGCGCGCACTTAATAAGGCCAACATGGCATACAATGGGGTATGTTACTGAATGTTAGCCGCCCAGTGGTCCGCTCGTTATTGTAAGCTCTTGCTCCTCTGGCCTCCATTATTGTTGGAGGACGACTGCCAACAATTGCCGAGTAGCGTCCTTCACGAGCCGCCTCCACGGAGGCCAATCTTGACACCGCTGGAACCAGTCATCGGCAAGTCCACTCGGCTCCGCATCCTCTTGTACGACATCACCCCATATCTTCTCTCGCCTGTGCCACACCCGTTTCGCATCACACACACTTCGCATCACACACACACACAACACCTTACGTGCATCGCCACCAAACACACACACAACCGTCATATTTACACGTCTGTCATAGCTACACAAAGGTCCCTCGTATAGCCTTAACAGACTGTTGGGGAAAGTGCTGTTAGCGAGCACCTATCAAGGCCAGAACGGCACACGAGGGGGTGGGTGGCCAGCACCACGCCCAGCCGCCCTTATCTCCCGAGTAGCGATGTTTAGACTGCACCAGGTACTCATTTGAGGCTGAGTCAAACTAGGGGAGGCCCAGGACCGGCTCAGATAATCGTCACTTGTGTTGGCCATGAGCGGGAATCGAACTCAGGTCGCCGGATTTGTAGTGCAGCACGCTACCGCTCCCATAGCTACACACATACACGCACAGACAGCAGTCGTCGCACACCACACACCGCACACACACCAGGCACGCGTGTTCCCTGGAGGTGGTTCCAGGTGAAGGTGCCGCTCTCACGCCGGCCGTGCTCCTCGCCAGGTGTCGAAGTGCTACCAGACCAACAAGTCCATCCCTTGCATCGACCAGGCGGCCGCCGACAAGCAGTACCAGAGGTTTTCCCGGCCACACCACATCCAGAAGCTACCACAGCTCTACACAGCACGACCCACAGTCTCTGCACGCTACAACCAGTCTCTATACTCTACAACCAGTCTTACCCACCTCAGCTCTACACATCCCGTGACTATGGTGCCCACCGCTCGATGGTGCGCCACACCAGCGCACACTGTGCAGTGCGTGAAGGGTGCGGCGCACTGCGTGTGTGATGGCGAGTGTGGGACACTGAGTGTGGGATGGTGAGGAATATGGGATGGCAAATGTGGGACTGAATGTGTGACTGTGAGTGTGTGATGGCGAGTGCGAGCCTGTGAGTGTGGGACTGTGAGTGGGGGACTGAGTGTGGGACTGTAAGTGGGGAACTGAGTGTGGGACTGAGTGTGGGACTCTGAGTGGGGGACTAAATGTGGGACTGTGAGTGGGGGACTGAGTGTGGGACTGTGAGTGTGGGACTGTGAGTGTGGGACTGAGTGTGGGGGGCTAAATGTGTGACTGTGAGTGGGGTACTGAGTGTGGGACGACTGAGTGTGGGACGACTGAGTGTGGGACGCGTGAGTGTGTGACGGCGAGTGTGGGACTGTGTGATGGTGAGTGTGGGATGGTGTGCTTCTGCTGCTGTAGATGGCAATTGCTCGTGGAGAAGTTCCTGGAGATGGATATAGATGCAGAGGGCGCGGACGTGCCCGCAATGCTGAAGGAGCTCATCAGCAAGTACGGGCTGTGACGGAGACAACAAACGCACCGCTCACTCACAACACTCGCACTATACACACCACTCACCATACCTTACTACTCAACACTCACCACTCTCGTTTTCCAACACACATAAAACACAACACTCACTCTACACTTTGGCTTTAAAATACAAGGGGAAAAGTGTCGCTTGGAATCCAAATATGATGCCGGTATCATGTTATAATTTAAGCATGCGTTTTTATGCAAGAGTACGAGTGCAAGAGGTAATACAGTTGTTTATTACAACTTTATTACTTTAACATCTCGATGGCGAGATGTGGTGAAATGTTAACTACCTCGCCTGGTATAGAGGGGTCGTGGGTTCGATCCAGACCCTGACTCCTGGATATTTGGAGTTTACGTGTTTTCTCCGTGGTCGTGTGGATTTTTCTCCGGGTACTCCACGTTTCCCTCCACATTTAGAAACTTGCGTTTCGAATATTTGGCTACTATAAATTTACACGTAATTAGCCACTTCGTTGGGCTATGATTTGTGGTCAGGTCGCTTCTGAAAACGAGCTGTATAGCTCAGTGGGCCTTGCCTGGTAAAATAAAAATAGTAACAAAAATCGTACTATGTATTTCAGGTTAATTGGATTATTTTGTATCGATTCACACTTGTGTAGCGAGTTCGACCGAGTCGCAGACGTTGACTTGGAGGCAACACATTTATTTAACTCCCAACACACGGGGTAACTACCCCTTAACAGAATAACAACCTGTGGTGGTGACCACCAGGCTAACTACGCTAATTACAACGTAACTAGCTACGACGGCCCGGGACCACAGCTCGGGTCCAGGTCCACGTGTTGGAGACTCGGAGAACGTTGATGAAGGCTTCTTCAGGGTGAAGAACAACGCCGGTCCCTCTGGGGACCCGGCTTATATTCTGTGTGGCTGGCCCCGCCCATGGCCACGACCACCTTCCGGAATCCTCGGGCAGGATCTGGATGCTAACCACGTGACCACCCCTAGCCCCCACTTGGGCCCCTTTGTAGACTTAACTTGTCACGTGTCCTCTCGGGTCAACCAAAGTGCTATGGCCTTTAGTAACCTTATTCCTACGGCCGGCACTCCCACACCGTCCTGTAGGGCTGGCACTGCACGCCACGCGTGATGCCATCTAGCGCTATATATCAGCGCTCACCGGGCCCCTTTAGGGCCGGTACTACACCCACACCATTGTGGTGTCCGCTATGTCGTTACATCGCACGCCGTGCCTTCTCTACGGCCGGCACTGCACAGTGACATCCAGCGATGTCACTACACTTGTGATAGTTTGAGTAAGCTTGTTTTTCGTGTTGATCCTATTTCTCTGAATATTATCGCCACTGCGGTGTAATTCATCAGTAACTGTTGCATTATCACTGTGGTTAACATTTAATCCCATGGCTTTAGTCGCTGTTAAAGTTGTAAATTGTAGTAATTCTTGCATAATTTCATTCGAGACTTTGTAGGTGGGGGGGATTATTTTTGCACTGTTGGCCCATTCAGCATCTCGTATGGAATTTATTAACTAAGTCATGCAACTATTTCTCATTTGTATTCAATGGAAGCTGACAAAATAAAATGTTAATATTCGTCTTGTTGCAACTCTATTCAACACACACTGGCGTTCAATACACTCACACTACACTTATCGCACACTACAAGTAGTACACACGTTGCACTCAACACCGTCACCACACATCACATTGCATGCACAAGGACAAAATCAAAAGATAAAGATTCCCCGTATATCCTTAACAGACTGTTTGGGCAAGTGCTGTTAGCGAGCACCTACGAAGGATGGAACGGTACACGAGGGGGTGGATGGCCAGCACCACGCCCGACCGCCTTTGTCTCCCCAGTGGCGATGTTTATGAGTTGACGTAAGGGAGGCCCAGGACCGGTTCAGATAATCGCCACTGGGAATCGAACCCAGGGCGCCAGGTTCATAGTGCAGCGCGCTGTCCGCAACACAACCGCTTCTCCCAAGGAACACACACACGCACAGACGTGCACGCAGCAAGCTTCCACGCTGGCAAATGAGAGACAGGAAGTTAGGATTGCGAGGGCTGTGTTTTAAATAAACCCTTTTATTAGTGCTTCACCCGTACACAGACGCGCGTGGGGAGGCGGGCGGGGGCGGCAGGTGGGTCACTGCAGGGGTCACTAGTGGGGGCGAGACCCAGGTGTGGGTATGACGACGATGGGTGATCATGGGGTGGGCGAGCAGGCCAGACGACTGGAGCTGCTCTACTCCAGCGCCTTGACGAGCGCCTCGCTCGTCTCCACGGCGATGAGCGCCTCCGCCCGGGGAATCTCCCCCGTCGCTGCCGACAGCTCACTCTGGGCTCGCGCCAGTTGTGCACGTGCCTCCTGTACATTGGAGCCGCACACGGTGTCACGTACGCGGTTACACGTACACGCTACGTCACGTACGCGGTCATGCGCACAGCCACACGTACACCGTGTCACGCGGTGACGCAGAATTTCCGCACGTGCCCCCTGTGTACATGCGGCGTTCTGTACACGCAGTCATTTAGACATGTACACATAGTCACCTAAGCATAGTCGCACAGTGTTACACGTGCACTGTCACGTACACACGCAGTCACCTGAGTTTATGGCGGACAGGTATGACGGGCGGGTGTCACAGGGGGGTTACCTGCAAGTCCAAGTGCTCGATCGGCACCGCCTCCTCCGCCAGCAGCTGCACAGAGGAGTCGGCGTTCACCGTGAGGGAGCCGCTGCTCACTGCGGGAAGACCACGCGCCACGCGTCACGGCACGAACCACAAACCCGCCACAACCGCCTCTCGCAGTGCTCATCTACGTTACCACCACAGCACCAGTCATGCACCACGCATCATGGCACGAGCCGCAACACCACTATTGGTCACCATTATCACCGCTGTCGCCGCCACAACCATCACGATACCACCACACAAATCACATAGCACAGCACGAACCACGGACGCCACCACCACCAGTCAATATCACTACGACCACCACCGTGGGATGGGGAGGGCCACGCACCAAAGAACTTTGCGTTGGTGCCGTCGTCCTTGAAGACGGTGACAAGACCAGGGCGCAACACGGCGAGCGTGGGCACGTGGTTGGGCAGGATCCCGAACATGCCCGTGAGCGTGGGCACGTCCACCTGGCGCACACCTCCGCCATTGAAAAACACCTGCACGGAGACGTGGTGCAGAGGATACAAGAGACCAGGGTCACGGGTGATACAAGAGGCACAGGGACATGGAATACAAGATAAACAGGTAATGGGGACACAAAGAGACAGCACCTCGGATTAGCACGATTGGCTACGTACTGTGGGAAAGAAGTTCAACAGAGGTTTTTTGTTTTTGTTTCACAAGACATGTGGGGGCATTAGGACACGGGTCACAGGGACACTCAGGACATGGGACAAATGTCATTTCAAGGGAGACATCTCACAGGGACAGGAGAGACAGGTTGCGCAGAGACAAGGTACATGACACACAGGGGACGTAGGGGGTCACGGACCGTGGAGACAATGGGCACGAGACGAACGGGGTCAAGGGAGGCATGAGGTCACAGACTGGGGGCAAGGTGACACGGGGGGGGGTAAAAGGCACGGACGCGCGTGAAACGCGGGAAGGGCTTGCAGAATGTGAGGTCCTGGTGGAGGGCTAAGTGAGGGTAAACTTGAAAAGACAGAGTGGCTGCATCGTTGAAGAGTTAAATGGCAAATGCCAAGAAATTAACATGCCAAGGGCAAGAGGTCGCACGCATGGGCGTGCAGGTCTAGCGGCGGTGTCGTCACGGGGATGTTACACGCAGCCACTGCAACGGGCTCCCTGAGCGTCAGGAATTATCTTTGTGACAGAGAGAGCCGCAAACAGCGAGAGGGAGACGGAGAGAGGCAAGAAGACTGGAAGCCAGAGACGTGCGGCAACACGGACACTGGGAGACCAGCAACTCGGGCATGGGGATATTGAGACACGAAGACAACGAGGATGATGATGCATTGTGACGGGGGAGACCTCCGGACACTGAGACCCTGAGACCTTCAGATGGGTGGACAGAGTATCGGCGAAATTGAGAGAGTGCGCGGTGGACGGTGGGATAAGTGTCGTGCGAGTGTCGCTGTGCAAGTCGTGAGTGTTGCGAGTGTCGCTGTGCAAGTCGTGAGTGTTGCGAGTGTCGCTGTGCAAGTCGTGAGTGTTGCGAGTGTCGCTGTGCAAGTCGTGAGTGTCATGGGAGTGCTCGGAGTGTCGTGCGAGTTTCCTTGCGGGTGGAGGCCCACACCTGGTACGGGGACGCGAACGTCAGCGCCATGCCGGACGCGCTCGCGGGCGCCGGCTCCGCGTAGCCGCGGCTCCCCGCGGGTCCCGTCCACCGCGGGGCTCGGGCCCCGAGGGGGAGCCGCGGGCTCAGGGCGCGGCGGCCGCCGCCGATGAGCAGCAGCCGCAGAGACGACGAGACGGACGCGGCCATGACGGGGACAAGCGAGCTCAAGGGCGACACCCACGCGTTTCCGGTCTCCCAGCGTGCCCCGCGCGCCAGCCACATCGAAGGCGCTTCCGCCTACTGGGGGGACGATATATCGCGATATATCGGGCCTTGCGATATGTCGTTCCTGGCGATATATCGCGATATATCGCGCCTTGCTATATATTGCGCCTTGCGATATATCGCGCCTTGCGATATATCGCGCGATATCCTCCACAAAACGATGTATCGCAAGATACATTACACGATACGATGCATTGCACGATACGATATATCGCGCAATACGATATACCGTGCGCTATATTGCACGATACAATATATACGATATAGTGCACACAACGATATATGATACGATATATTGCACGATACAATATATCGCACGATAAGATATATCGTATGATACGATATATCGTATGATACGATATATCGTACGCGTTTTTGTTTTGTTTCATATGCGTCGGGGAAGATACTTGGAAGGAGGAGGCGAATTGCCGGTGAAAGTCCAAACAAAATTCACGGTGGTATGCCACTCGATTGAGCATTGATCCATTGGTTCTCATCTCCCGTTTGCAGCCCTCGATCCACTGGTGGAAAATCCACATTCCTATGGCGGGAGCGGGTCAATCCACAGGACAACCACTCATCTGTCGTCGACTGTCTTTCCACAAAGTGGGATGTATTGTATCGACCCCGGCGGTTGGATGATGATGATGGGAAGAGTCATCGCCAAGGAGATGGAGCGGTTAAATCAACTCTCTGTGCAAGTCCTGGGTGGCTGTGTACATCGCAGGATCGCGAGAGGTGCCTTGGGTAGGCCTTCATCTAGCAGTGGATTGGCCATGCGGCCGTCTGGAATGCTCTCTTCCGATGAGGGAGCCACTGGAGCTATGCAAA